GCTCACAGCAACCTCCAACTCCTGGGCTCAAGTGAGTCTCCTGCCTCAGCCTCTCAAGTAGCTGGGACCACAGGCGCCCGCCACAACGCCTGGCCAGTTTTTGGTTGCAGCCATCGTTGTTTGGCGGGCCCGGGCTGGGGATTCGAACCTGCCACCTTAGGTGTATGTGGCTGGCCCCTTAGCCACTTGAGCCACAGGCACCGAGCCTAAATTCTTAAACTGTGGCTAGACATTGTGGCTCATGTCTAATCCCAATGCTTTTGGGAGGCTGAGGTGGCCCAGAAGTTCAGAACAGCCTGGGCAGCACAGTGAGATTCTCATCTCTACAAAAAATTTTTAAAAAGTTAGCTGGGCATGATGGTTTGTGCCTACAGTCCCAACTACTGAGGAAGCTGAGACAGGAGGATCCCTTGAGCCCAGGAGTTGCGGTGAGTTATCACACCACTGTACCCCTGGAGAACAGAGCACGATTCTGTCTCTGGAAAACAACAAATAATAATAAACTCTGTAAACTCTCTCTCCCACTGCCCTCTATGTAATAGTTGGCGTGTAGTAGGTTCTTCTAAGGGGGCCTCAAACTGGATACCTCTGTGGTTCCCAAGCATGCTCTGTTAAGGCTATGCCACTGACAACACAACCGTGAAAGTCTGTCATTCAAGTACCTCTTCCAGAGCTTTTCTGTTTGTCCTCTAATCAGAAAGAGTTAACCTGGACATTCCGTGTGGTCGTCACAGTGACATCATCTCGTCATAATGAACAGCTGACAACTAATGGGCCTAAGTGTTGACCACTGTTTTAAGCACTTTACACATAGTAACTCGTATGTTCTTACAATCTTCCTGTTCTCCCCCACTGTAAAGTGGAGCAACTGAGTTATGTGTATAGAACAATTTGCCCAGGTGACATGGCTAGCGCAACTCAAGAGACAAGCAAGCTCCAGGGTCAGCCTGCCCAGCCTGCTGGCCAACCTGTATGCACGTGAGCATACATCACACTTGAACCCCCATCCCACAGGCAGTTGTCTTCATTCCATAGATGATAAAGCCAAGGTCAAGAGAGGTGAATGGCCAGTCCCGAGGGTCAGTGACAGCTGTGGAGCCTCTGCCCCAGTTCTCCTATGCCCTACTCCGTATCCTCCTCCACTGCATTTCTTTTTTTTTTTTTTTTTTTTTGAGACAGAGCCTCAAGCTGTCCCCCTGGGTAGAGTGCCATGGCATTACAGCTCACAGCAACCTCCAACTCCTGGGCTCAAGCGAGTCTCCTGCCTCCGCCTCCCAAGTAGCTGGGACCACAGGCGCCCGCCACAACGCCCGGCTATTTTTTTTGGTTGCAGCCGTCATTGTTGTTTGGCGGGTCCGGGCTGGGGATTCGAACCTGCCACCTTAGGTGTACGTGGCTGGCGCCTTAGCCGGTTGAGCTATAGGCGCCGAGCCCTCCACTGCATTTCTAACTTCTGGAAGTTGGGGCTAGCCTTAGCTAGTGCTGTCCCGCATCTGAACCAGAGTGGGAGATGAGGAAACTGACTTTGTATAATGAATGGTGGATATGGGGAGTAGAAGCAGGGCCAGCTTTGTGGGCACATAACCCATACAGTCAACACAGGAACCTGTACTCCAAAGGGCCCCAGCTTAATTTTATGCTCTGCTGTTGCCATCCTGAACATTTTTTTCCTGAGATAAGGTCTCCCTCTGTCGCCTGGACTAGAGTGCCATGGCATTTCATAGTTCACTGCAACATCAAACTCCTGGGCTCAGGCAGTCCTCCTGCCCCAGCATCCCAAGTAGTTGGGACTACAGGCATGTACCACTACACCCAGCTAATTTTTTTAATTTTTGGCAGAGATGGGGTATTGGTATGTTGCCCAGGCTGATCTTGAACTCCTGGTCTGACGTGATCCTCTGTCTTCATCCTCCCAAAGTGCTAGGATTACAGGAGTGAGCCACTGTTCACTGCCTGAACTTTTTAACGATTATTTTTTTGAGGCAGAGTCTCACTGTGTCACCCTGGGTAAAGTGCCATGGCATCACAGCTCACAGCAACCTCAAACTCTTGAGCTTAAGCGATTCTCTTGTCTCAGCCTCCCAAGTAGCTGGGAATATAGGTGTCCACCACAGTGCTCTGCTATTTTTTTGTGGCAGTTGTCATTTTTCTTTTTGTTTTTTGTTTTTTTAGAGACAGAGTCTCACTTTGTCACCCTTGGTAGAGTGCCATGGCATCACAGCTCACAGCAACCTCCAGCTCTTGGGCTTAGGTGATTCACTATCCTCAGCCTTTGGAGTAGCTGGGACTATAGGTGCCCACCACAATGCCCAGCTATTTTGTTGTTGTTGTTGCAGTTTGGCCAGGGCTGGGCTTGAACCCACCACCCTTGGTATATGGGGCCAGCACCCTACTCACTGAGCCACAGGCACCGCCCTTGTTTTTTGTTTTTTGTTTTTAATTTGAAATACAACTTTATTCTGATTCTAAACAAAAAGAAATGGGAATGACAATGACAAACAAGATTTTTCCACTGGATATTGTGATGTGACTGTAGCAGTCTTATATTTGAAACTCAAGAAGGAATCAACTGTGTTCCAAATAGCTAAATATGCAGGTCCAAACAATGGGAAAGTATTTGCAGTTGTCATTGTTGTTTAACTGGCCCAGACTGGGTTCGAATTCGCCAGCCTTGGTGCATGTGGCCGGTGCTGTAATCACTGTACTACAGGTGCCGAGCCTTTTTAACAATTTTTGAAGGGGCCCTGCATTTTTTTGCACCAGGCCCTGTAAATGATGTAGCTATCTGGTCCTGGGAAGAGGGTCAATCCCAGCTCCCCCCAGGCCAGCTCTGTCTCAAGTGTGGTTTGGGTGGCCAGTAGCAGAACAGCCCTGGCACCTGCTGGCTGGGGAGTCTAGTTCTCAGTTTCCAGGTCCCAGCTCTTGAGTGCAGACCTGCCAGGAAACCTCAGCACTGACACACACATGTGGGCAGGAAACAGCGAGTGCAAGCAGCAGAGGCCAGGGAGCAGCTGGCCTTACCCTCTGGCTGTGCTGTCACCAGCCTCTGCCTCCCCCGCCTCTTACAGGCCCTACTCCAGGCACAGGGGGCAGGGAATTC